ATAATATTTTCTTAAAAAACTGACTTGAATAATGGCTTTGGAAAAATAATTTTAAAAAGACTGAGTTTGTTTTTTAAAAGACACATTCTTATCAGTTTTGTGTTATATAAATATTTGATTGGTTCGCTCAATAATACTAGTATAATATAATTCTGCACCAAAGATGATTTTAAAAAAGTATGTAAATAAGCATCTATATCATTGTTCATTTTATGCAAAAATATAACTTAAAACGTAGGAAGATCCACATTATGAAACGTCTTATATATGCTTTATATTTCTTGTTATTTGATTGATGCCAATCTAATATGTGATTTTGGTAGATTTTGATTTTGGACCTGAATAAAAGCTACTTCCACAATTTAGCCCAAAAAAATTAAAAATTTTTTGGTAGCTTCTATTTGATAACATATGGTATTTACCTATTATTCACTTTTTATTTATTTGTTTGACCTGTGTTAGACTTAAAAACATAGGCAAAGAAGTAGAAGCAAAGTTACCAAAGCTACAAAAGCAATGGTCAGAAGTCTGAATAGATGATTTAAAAGAAGACAAAGAATTCTTAAAGACAGAAGAAAAAAGAAATGAGAACAAAATCAAAGAAAGCAGATAGAAGAAAATATAAATAAAAGATATGAAATAATTAAATCAAATCAAAAATGAATGATAGCTAGCCTATTGAACAAACTGTACAAGAAGATAACTTTAGACAGATTTATAGTTCAAAATGGAGAAGATGTTAGACTTACAACAGAACCTAAAGAAGTCCTAAATGGTTTAGCAAATTACTTCAAAAACCAATTCAGAAAACGAGAAACCAAATTAAGAAAAATGCCTAAAGAATGAAAAAAAGTATACAATCTAAAAGAATGAATTGATAAGTCTTGGTACAGTAAACTAGAAGAGAAAGTAGAAGAGTGGGAAGACACAATAAGAGAACTCAAGTTCAACACAGCCTCAGAAATATCAGACATAAGCTATATACTAATAAAATAAATAGAAAAGAAATTGCAAAAGATTTTCAAAGTTTTTGCAAATCTGGTTTTAGAAAAATGAGAACTACCAATAAAGTGAAAAATCACACAAGTCTATTCAATTCTAAAAGATAAAGACTAGAAATATAACTTGAACAAAATTAGACCAATAGCACTAATTGAGACCTTTAGAAAGCTAGTTACAAAGATGCTAACAAAAAGGCTAGCCAAGATATTTACAGAAAGAAAAATACTTAAAGGGCCAAACTATGCAGGTCTGCCTAGTAACTCAACAGAACAACCAATACACTTGCTAAATATGATAATGAAAAAAGCACAAGAGAAGAATAAAGAAATATGAATACTCTTGCAAGACATGAAGAAGGCATTTGACTCAGTCTCTCTGGAAAGCTTAGAGTAGACACTAAAAAAAGTCAAGATACTACAAAAAACAATAAAATACATTATTAACCTCTTTCATAAACATTAACTTAAGGTAATCACAGCTTATAGTTTAACAAAAAAAATAATAGCAGAAGATGGAATAAACCAAGGGAAGGTGATTTTTCTACTAATTTAATGACTCTTCTATGATCCATTATTGGAAAAGATTCAATAGAACAAATCACTAGACTACATAATAGAGCAAGAAGTATTAAAAGGTACAGCTATTAATTGTATCACAAAACATAGACAAGTAGCAATCACATATGCAAATGATACAACATGGATCACAAATAGCAAAGAACAATTGTTAAAAATTCTTAAAATTGCAGAAGAGTTTTTTAAAGCCAATGATATCAAAATAAATAAAGATAAGTCAAAGCTCATAGTAATGAATTCTAGACAAAGAAAAGAAGACAGAAAAATTATTTTTAGGCAGAGCAAAATAACAGAAAAGCCAAAAAAAAAATTGTAAGATTATTGAGAATTTGGCTGAACAGTAAAATGAGAGTGTTGCTAGTCTGCAAAAAAGCTAAAGGAATAGTTAGTCAAACAGTTAAAGACCTCAAATATAAAAAAATAACAATGAGCCAAATCATATATATAAACAATACAGTAATAGTTCCAAAGTTAGATTATCTTCTACAGTTAACAAAGATATCAAAAAAGATGATCAATAAGATCTACCAACTGATAATTTGTTGACAAAACACAAGTACAACATAATGAAAACTACAAACAACTGTATAATAGAATATAAAAATTTAGAAAGCTGTAAATCACTAAGTTAAGAGATAGTAATAAAGCAAATAAGTAGTTTATTTATGAGACTTAATAGAAAAGATAGCCTAGGTGATCTGACAAAACTTAGAATAGCTTAAGAATACCAAAAGGCAGACTTAACAAAAGACATATAGGACATCGAAAGAAGACCAGAAGAATCAAAGTTTTGGAAATATAAACTAGTCTGTCAGACATTAGCCAAAGCAAAAAAGATAAGTATAAACATCAAAACAGAAAACTGCTTATAGAAAGTATATAGATATGGGATAAAATAAGAAATCTAGTTGAAGCCAAAACTTGAACAGCAAGTGGTAATACAATAAACGAATAGGGTGTGCTATACCTAAATCAGCTTATAGATGTTAAAGATAAGAACCTAATCATATAAAAATAGCTTAAAAGCTTACAAAAACTTTCATGCAAAGAAAAGAAAGCCAAATGGTTTAGTAAAATAGAAAGAAAAGTATTAATTACACAGATGTGCAGAAAAATACATAACTATTTCAAAATTAATGATTTTAATATCCAAGCATTGATAATTAACTAGATGATAGTATCAGTAAACAGAAAAAAGAAAGAGTGAATTGTATATGGACCAATGCATGATTAGCATTTCAGCAAAATACTAAAGAAGAAAGAGAAAAAAGTCTTAATAGAACATTGGTTACTGCAAGAAATAGAAGGCAAAATATTTACCAAAATAAGAAAATGTAAAAGTTGTGAAAGTAAATTAGAACAAATAACAGACACATGTAAAAGATTAATAAGACAAAGCAATAGTATTAAAGCAATTCCAGAAACACTAGTAAAAAAGAACAATAATAAGATTAACAATAGAACAATTGCTAGAAAATAGATCAATGAGAGAATGAAAAAAGAAAGAAAGAGAGTTAATTAGGTTAAAACAAATAGAAGGACTAGAAATATAACTAATTAAAAAACAAGAATTCAAAAGAGAGATTGCAACTTACTTAATAAAAACTCTTATAAGAAATATAATGAGAAACAAAGACACATATACCTTTTATACAGATAGTGCATTATTTAAAGAAAGAAGTAGAAATGATTTAGAAAGAATGGGTATAGGCTAGGTACAAGTTGGAAATAAAAGAGATTGGTCAGAAGAAGAGACAGCATTGAGACTTGAAGGTTGACCCTCAGCAACAATAGCTAAACTAGTAGCAATATGGTTAGCAACTTTAATGATACTAGAAAAAAAGGCTATAGAAGTGTACACAGATACCATATTTTTCTGAAATTAAGCTACCTTTTTTTAGGAGATTTTGAATACAAGAAACGGTAAGTAGCTTATTTTCGGGAGTTATAGCTTTTAAAATAACTTAAATATAACACAAGGGATAGCTTATTTTTAGGATTTATAGTTTTTAAAAGTAATTTAGTTTAACGAAGTAGCTTATTTTGGGAATACAAACTTTAGCATTAAAGATCCTCATGTTTACTATCTTTTAAAGGTTAAATAAGTTTTTGCTGCATATAGTGAGTTATCTACAGGTATTCATAATTTATTATATATGCTCTAACAATAATAGAATATTGATATCTAATACATATAGCTGATTCTTTAGGGGCTACGTAGGTTTGCTGCAGTAAAAACTTAAATATTTATTTTGCAGCATTCATGTGTTAAATTCTTAAAAAGCATGCCTGAATCCTTAATTAATAAGCATTATCATTAATATTATCATTATGTGTAATATAAATAATATATAATTAGTGTTCTACATCTCAACGGCAATTATACACCAAGTTAAATTTACCAAAAAAATACACCTGCAAGTTGGAATTGGAGGATAGTACATAATTTATAATTTTTAGTGATAAGTTACTAAAATAGTAAGCTACTGGTATCACTTGTATTTTTATTTATGTTTTACAATAACTTATCATACTATGGTAACTTACTAGTAATTTACCATGATAAGCAACCTTGAGAGTAACAATTATTTTTTTCTCAAGAAGTTACCTTGTTTAAACTTGTTTAAACTTACTTAAACTTTAAATTTCGCCAAATTTCCATAATGATGATGATAAGCTATAATTTTAATTGATTGTGCAACATTCTGTTGAAGAATTTAACTTTAAAATTCACATTTTGCATAATTAAAATTTTCATAATGATAATGATAAGCTGTAATTTAATTAATCCTATAACATTTTGTTGCTTGTTATTTAAAGAAAGGTTCATTTCATAGTATTTTTTTTTTTAAAAAAAAAAAAAAAGGAAAAAAACTCTACATAAAATTTACAACCCATTTGGGCTACAAAAACCAATTAATTTCATTTGTGTGGCCTTACTATAGTAAATATAAAAAGGCAATAAAACTCTTACACGATCAAAGAAAAAAGTAAAGTTATAGAATTGGCATGCCGTACTTCAAATAAATTTGCTGCTCACTGCTATTTTCTTGATTTAACAATGATTAGTCGGTGGGTTAAACAATTTTCACAAGACCCTCTTCTTCAAAAGAGTTCCGAAGGGTTGGTTCTGGATGTCATGCATTGTTTTCTAAAGAAGAAGCCCAACTCTATGAATGGATAATGGAGCTTCATAAAGATGGTTTCACAGTTAATCATTCTAGTATTAAAACAAAAATGGTTGAAATTATAAGATCAAGTGCAAGACTAGCTCAAGATGAGGCAAAGAAGTTAGCAATTGCTAATTTTAAGTTTTCACATCATTGGCTTGGTTGTTTTTTAAAACGTTATGACCTTTCTCTTCACTGCAAGACTAATATTGTGCAAAAGTTGCCTGATGACCTCGAGAATAAGCTATTAAAGTTTTAACAATTTGTTATTCTCCTCTGTCAGAAAAATAATTATCCTCTTGGTATAATTGCAAATATGGATAAGATGCCAGGTTGGTTTGATATGATAGGTAACTTAACTGTGAATCCAAGAGGCATGAAAACAGTTCATATTCAGTCAACAAAAATGACAAAAATTGATTTATCATGGTATTAACATGCCTTGCTGATGGCACTAAGCTCCCTCCAGTCATTATTTTCAAAGAAAAGATTTGGCCTGCTAATACGTCCTCTTCTCCAGTTGGTATAATTGTTTGGTTTCAAGACAAAAGATGGATAGATAAGTTAGGAATGAAACAATGGATAAAATATTGGAATAGAATGTGACCAGAGGGACCTCATTCAAAAACAATGCTTGTCTTAAATTCTTTTTCAGTACATATTTCAGAGCGAATTAAGTCTGCATTGTGTTTAAGTAATACAGATCTAGCTGTTATTCGCAGGAGTCTTACTAGCATGTGTCAACCTCTTGATGTCTGTGTAAATAAGCCTTTCAAAGATAAGCTTCATTAACAGTGGCATAGGTTAGTGTTGTCAATTTCTTGTTCTATTAATGAAAATTATATTTTATTCTAATTTATATTGCTCTATTTATTGTTCTTTTGTTCTATTTATTTATTGCTATATTTAATATCTAATTATAATCTGGCAATTTTTTATTCTATTGACAAAAATCTTATTCTATTCTAATTTTTATTCTATTTTATTGTTCTTTTGTTCTATTTTTTTTTTTTTTTTTTCTACTGCTTGATCGCTAGTGGTCCGCAGCGGTGGCTGTTTTATTAGTTCAAATTTTAAGTTCACGGGACCTTCTATCAGGACCCCGTTTACATTTTTACGTTTTTAGTTTGTGTACATTTACGGTACTATCTATATTCAATTTGTGTTCCTATTATCCCAGAATTTCACCAGGATTGTCCTAATCAGAGATTCCTTTTGTTCTATTTTTATCCTCAGCCTTCTAATCATCATGGCCTTCTTATGTCAAGTCCGTCGCCATTTAAGGATCTGGGTACTGAAGATCTTTCTAATTTCGTAAGACATCATCTGATATGGTTAATTAACAATCGTGGTCCTAACTCAGTTTTCATCCCCCATTGAACTTGAACCGGCAACCTTACGATTGGTGACCTGGGAGCATAACCACTTCACTATCGACCCGCAGGTCCTTTTGTTCTATTTATTTATTGCTATATTATTTTATTATAATCTTGTTGGTAATTTTTTGTTCTATTGATAAAAATCTTATTCTATTTATTCTATTTTAAATTTTATTGCTTTATTCTATTGTTCTATCCATCTATTGCGTTAACACTGGCATAGATGGATGGCAAATAGTGGTAATAGTCTTACTAAGGGTGGAAATTTAAAGCGTGCAGATTTAAACACAGTATGTCATTGGGTGTTAAATGCGTGGGATAATATCTCTCACAATATTATTATTTAGGCATTTAAAAAATACAGTATTTCTAATTGTTTATTGAGAAGTAAGGATCATTTAATTTACGAGAATGATAGTAAGGATTTAGACAATGCTGAGTCTGTTAATAACAGAGATAAAAATGAGAATAATAATGAATATGAAATTGCAGATTATAATGTGATTAAAGATTCAGGCGAAGATACAGACGAGGATACAGGTGAAGGTTCAGACGAAAATACTAACAAGGAAAATGATTTTAATAATTGGCCAGAATGCTTTGTTGTCATTTAAAATATATACATATTCAAGATAAGAATAAATTTATTACAAGTGAATATTATTACTTATAGTTATAATATTATAAGAATGGTTATTAACAAAATATATATTTAAATTAGAATCATGAATGATTTTCATATGTACTAGAAATATATTTGCATAGTGAACATGAAAAATTATTGGATTTAAAAACATCAAAGACTAAACCAAGTAATATATCCGCATTAAGAAACTGTGGGAAAACTGATTGCATATTGAATAGAGCTAAAATCATTATCAATAATAATGTAGTTATTTTTGATAATAAATAAATGCTATGTTTTTGAGCTTTGAAATACCATAGAAAGTTATACACTAACGGTTGTTTAAATGTCTTAAAACAAATATCAGTGGTGTACTTGTTGGCAATCTGAGGATTTTAAAAATATCGCTAATCAACAAATGCAACACAAGTATATATACAATTTTATTTTATGATTTTATCTCTATTCTATTACTAGTATTAATTGCACATTTATTTCACACATTAATTTAATAATCAAAGAAGTAATATAAGATCTGATGTCTATAGTTTCAGTATAATTTTTTGGAAATTTATAAGCAGAAGCATAACAAGAGTTAACTTATATAGGGGCTTCATTTATGCGTAAAATTAAAGCTAATAAAATTGGGCAGTACAGTTACAATTAGAATATTAGTATATAAAATTAGGACACAGAAGGTATAATGAGATTATGATTAGAATGTATTTAGTATAATCTTTTTTTTTAGTTAAGTGAAGTAGTCTTTTAAAATATGTAAATATGGTTTCGGTATATACTATTTGGGTATGATAACAAATCAGTTGGATGAATTGTTGCTTATATTTATGGTAGATATATAAAAAAAAAATGATTTTAGAGATCTTAACTTAAACCTAATCGATCTTCTTGATACATTTAAATTAAGTAGGATGAGCAACGTAACAACTGTATTTTTTCTGATAAATTTGAAATGATCTTTAGACTCTCCTATTCTATTTCTGATTTCAAAATTTTTTGAAATACAAATAAGATTTTTCAAACTCTTATTTAATTTCAAAATGTGC